GATTGTTGAATTAGCCAAGCATGAATACATGAAAGTAGGGCACGATGTAGATTTGCATGGCTACATCCGTAACAGGTAATGTGAATTGGGTCGACTCATCATCAAAGAACACCCAGCAACCAAATGCATCACTCGAATCATTTGTCCATCCGCACCACCTTTCTGATATTGTGAAGGCCGTCCACGATATTGCCGGCTTCAGGGAAGACAAACAGTTGTACGATGTTCCGTCACTAGCGCTGAAGATTGGTTATTCAATCAAGAAGTGTGCACTCATCTTGAAAGGAAGTGCCCTAGAGTCTGGCCAAAAACACAAAGCGGAGCGTGCGGAAGAGTTTCTGAATTGAACTGGCGAGACCTTGTGTCCACACACGCACACAGAACGCTTTACCAAGGAAAACGCAACAAAGTCACCATTCTCCCGACAAATGCCGATGTAGTCCACCTGTCGTCGTTCCTTCATGAAGCTGGCAACCGGGAACTTCAACTCCTGCAGGGTGCTTGGGGCAGACAAATCAGGTCAGTTTGGCAGAAATTGAATGAGGTTAGTCTGTGCCACCTCATCATGTTCAACCGAAGAAGGCAGGGGGAGGTTTCAACGATGAAACTTGAAGATTTCCACAAGCACAGCACCGCCAAACTGGAGGGGGAATGCCTGTTGAGTGATTTAAAACGCCAGCTGTGCAAGATGTTCCGTGTTGTCGAAATAGTTGGCAAGAGAGGCAGAACTGTTCCCATGCTTCTAAGCAATGAGGCAGTAGCATGGTTGAATGCCCTTTTTGCCAAGAGACATGAAGCTGGAGTAGCCCAAGACAACAACTTCTTGTTCACACGGTGTTGTTATGGCGGGAGAGGCCACATGAGGGAGTGACTGTTTAAGAGCATATGCAGATAAGGCTGGCCTTGACAATGCATCCAGCATCCAGTCCACCAAACTCCGTAAACATGTAGCAACTGCATCGCAAATTCTTGCATTAAAGGAACATCAGCTTGAAACTCTAGCCAACTTCATGGGCTACGATCTGCGGGTACATCTCGAATACTACCAGTTGCCAGATATTGTACAGCGGGTCCCCAAACTGTCCAGACTTTACCTGAGTTTGGAGAGGGGCAACCTGTCTTCCCAGCAGGGCAAATCCTTCGACGATCTGCATGTAACTGGAGGTAAGGGTACCTTGTTTTCAAACCATGTTTCCCATGTTCCGTCTACCCAATGCTTGACTTCGAACCAAGTCAACCAAACCCAGACTCCCACTTTGTAGGGCATCATACTCTGCCGTAAACATTACCTCTCTTCCTATTCACCCCCCCGGAAGAACAGACCAGTACTGTGAGGGTCGGTAGCCTTTTCAGGGACACTGTAGTGTTGTCTTCTGGAAACTTCTGGAAGGCGAATTACCGCCCAAGGGTCTGTCGCCCTTATGCAATTTAGTCCAATTATATTGTAATAAAGTCTCGTTGGAATCTATCATTTACGTGCCAATGTAAAGGTAATTAACCTACAAAAATTTTCAATAATTAATATTGGGTCTAAACTTGCGCGTCTTCATTTTGCAACATTTTTGGTATTGTTCTAGCGTATGAATATTATAGGGAAATGTGTCTTCCGTACGCCGGACGAACGCTCGCGCCTTTTCTGGCTGACACTGAACGGTGAGACAAGCGTTTTTAATGGGGCCTATTTTTCTGCTTTTTGTTTCTCACATATGCCATTGTTGTTGTAATCTTGAGA